GTATATATAAGATAAAAATATATACATATATATTTATATACACACATAAATTTGAACTTAATGTGTTTTATCCTTCGTGTTGCTTCTCGTATTTTTAGAAAAAAAATGTTACCCAACATCTGTATGAGCCATAATCACTATTCTTTTTCCAATTAAAAAGGAAATGGTGCTACTATTTCAACATTAGGGATGTGTGTGTGTTTTCATTACTTATGAGTGGACATTATTACAATATTAAGATAGTATCCTTCATTTTGTGTTGGTGTCAGGGTGTGTGTATACACACACATATATAGAATAGATATTTAATACAGGAATGGTGACCACTTGTCTTCAAAATTTATCTTAAATTTTTAAAAAATTATTTGATGAGAAGAATGAGAGGGACTAAGTAAATAACCCTTCACACAAATCCATTTTTTACCTCACGCATTTGTATCTCCCTCCCACTTTGCTGTGAAGCTTCCCACCAGGGATTCTCACCTGTGATCCCTGACTCCTGCTAGGAAGCCTCGCTCCCAGCTACAGAGCCTTTCAAGCAAGACAGAACTCAGGCTGCTGACACAAATGAGGATAATAGGGAGACCCCAGGCACAGAGTCCTCCTCTCCCCTTCAACTTTCATAGATTATTCCCAACTTGGATAACACCCTACACATTTTCACCCCCGCTGTGACCGTAACATCAGGAGACACAAAGCCCTATGGATGTGGGTCCCCAGTAGTCAAAGTCACAGCACAGAGGACAACACCACACAGGGGCAAGGGTGCAAGGCCTGAGTCCAGGTGGATGTTTAAGATTCAGCTCTGAACCTCCAACAAGGGCCATTGGCAGGTCTCCACTGGTTTGTCTTTTCATCTCTAGAGCAGAAGTAATTGTAATACCATTCTTGTTAGGAAATTTGGGAGGACTGACAGTGTTATTTATGTATGGCCCCTGGAAAATGACTGCCATGGTGTAATTTGTTAACTGCAGGTGGTTTGACCCATCTGGCTGAATCACATCTTCTATAAAGCTATGATGTGCTCAGTAGGTGTGGACAGGCATATAGCTCTGAGATCCTCCTTAGGGACAGTCTCATCACAGTGCTCTCTCCCTATTGTCACCATCAGCACCTCACTCATGGTCAAGGTTTTCTCTGTGTAGGGTTAGGTGGCCATATATTTCTTCTTAAACCATGGGTGGCTTCAGCTGATGTCGCTACTGAAATTGGTCCTTACTGGTAACATCTTTTAAGCTCAATCTGTACATATATGTTTTTGTATGTATGCCAAATTTCTCTCTCTCTCACACACACACACACACACACAGACACACACACAGAAGGAATTTCAATGTTGTGCTCTGCTGGGATGACTCCACGGGCAAATTATCCGTGACTCATATTTCCCCTATCCATTTTCAGTGTTGATTATAAACATAGCTAGTATTATTACATTCAGAAAGCTGTCTTCTGTAACATCAAGGTGAAATCTACTAAACCTATATAATGTGTGTGCTTTTTAGACATCATTTATTTTAACTGAAAGACATAGGCAAGTTTGATGGTGGCATTAGAAAGAAAAAAAGATTAATATGAGAGAAATTGAAGAATTCTAGGTGGGTGCTAGTTTTTCCTCTGTAAGTCCCAGGACTGGATTCTCCTGAGGGTGGGTGGAGGAGGCAGGTTCTCAGTTCTACCCCTGTGTCATCAGACCTTCTGCTCCTTCTGTCTTCCTGACTCATGGGATCCTGCTTTTTCCTCTTGGAGATTTGGAAACATCTTCTTTCATCTGCATGAGACTCATTGTCTGGGAGCCCAGTCTCCTGAAGTTCTCCTAGCTGAGTGCTCAGGTTCAGTCACTTCGGTGGGGCATTTATAGACAATCTATCCACAGACAACACCTTCAGCATGGACCAGCAAACACAACTCAGTGCTCCTTCTTTTTTTGTCTCCCAGAGATATTAGAATCTGAGGTCAACTCTCCAGGGCCAGAGGAGCCTTCCGGGCACTGCGATGCACTGAGCCCTTCTGCGTCTATTTCTGAGGTTCCTTAAGAATTCCAGCTGTGTTTCTTTGGCAGATTTAGGTATTGACACTTGCCAAGGACTTGATCTGGGGGCTTCAGCCTAAGCCCAGAGGAGCTGGAGGCTGCAGAGTGCTGGGGCAAGGCTCCAATCAGACACACAGGCAAAAGCAGAAGCCACCTCCTTGTTCCTCCCAGAATGCCCCTCTCCAAGTCACTTAATGAAGGGAACATGTTTAGTTGGTTAATTGCTTGGCTAGATAATTAGATTAAATCTATATTTTCTATGTAATGCTAAATGTTTGTACATTAAACAACATTTATCTTCTACAGGCTATATTTTACATACAACATATATAGAGAAAAGCACCCTAAACAAAGTTACAGTTTAATGAAGGATTTAACATTTATTGCCAAAGGAAAAAAATTGCATCAAAAGTTCTACCCTGGTGTACCAATTTTTTAAAACATGAAAATTACTCTTCATCTAACTGTTCTCTGCAGTAATATATGTGTTGAATAAAATATTTGTTGTATATTCATGCTTTATTTGCATGAGATTCATACATTTAAATGTTTGAAAATTACACTCTGAGTCTTTTGAAGGTTATTTAGGAAGTGCCCCGGAAGATCCTTCTACCCAAGCTTTTTACACTGCTGTGTCTGAGGAGTGAACCTTTTCAGCTCAGGGATTTTTTTTTTTCTTGGATCCTGGAGTGACCCCCAAGAGGCAGTAAAACTTTTCGTTGCTGACCCTGTGCTATCCTAGAACACCCTCCATTGTGACAGTGAGCTGTAGATGAATGTTTGGAGTCATTGGATGATTACTAGAAAATGAGCCATGAAATGGGATGAGAACATTGGACAGCGTAGAAACTGGGAACATAAATGGCTGCAGGTCTGAGGATGTAACATGACATTATTGGGGAGAGGCAGAAATTTCTAGAAGGACACTGAGAATGGGAGTTCAGGGTGTGGGAAATCCAGGAGAGTCCACTCAGGGCTCTAGTAATTGGATTTGTGTCCTGAAGGGGCAGTCACTCAGCTGAATCACAGTCAGGCTGACACCGACCCAGATCCCTGTGACCAGGACTCTCGGCAATGACACAGAGGTGACCTGCGGAGCAGTCGTCTTAGAATGGGAGGAGGAAGAGCGCCCATGTGGAGCACATGGACAGAGGAAGAGGAGCAGGTGCTGGCCTCTGAGCCTGGTCTTCACCTGAGCGGGGGCAGGTGGTGGGCAGGTGCCCAGACAATAGTGGGCAGTGGCCGCTCCTGTAACTCCTTGAACTTCTTTTCCTTCCTTTCCCCTCTGGGATGAGAAGACCATCACAAGGGTATTTTTTCCCTTATTTCCTGAAACTGCCTGAATTTCAAATTGATGTTTTGTAAATGGGAGTGGCTGTGTCTTGACCTGGTTGCTGATGAAGGAATATTGGAAAGGTCATGAAGCCAGAAATGTAACTTTCTGGGATGGAAATAGCCTGGCCTATATCCCTTCCCACGTCCCAGCATCCACAGGACAACATTCATCATGAGTTAAGGATGCAGGTGTGGGACACAGTGACGCACATACTGGGCCACTTAGGCAAACCTTCTGTTGTTTTCCTCTCCTGTCAGGACCACAAATCACCCAGCCATGCCGTTAGCATATGACTAACCCCAGCTGCAGCTCCAGGGAAAGGCCATGCATTAGCCAACCAATGTGACAGTCCACTCCTACTCACTATGATGGAGTCAGGGGAGACAGTGTGAGTGATCTGGACAAGTTGTCCTGAAGGCCAGGATTCCTGATCAAGTAGGTCAGGGACTCCAGGTCTTAATCATTGTGGAGGGTTTGTATCCAAATGTGATTCCCAGGATGGCAGAGGCGTTTTGTTCCCATGGGAATTCAGCCAGGGGACAGGAAAGTGATAGCGATCCTGACCCTCAATCTGAAGCCAGAAGTGGTCAAGGATGCCAAGTTGACAAAAGAGAATCAGGCTGAGACCCCTGAAGGTCCCCACTCCAGTGCCAGGTCACAAATTCAGGGTTTCTCTGCAGCCATTGGCACTAGTTTCCATGGTAACCCTTAACTTCTCTGCTGTCCCCTGTGCGGGAGAAGGTGACCTCAGGATCTGGGCGTATCAAGAGCTTCACACAGGGAGATTCACTTGCACAGGTTGAGGAGTTTCTGCTCCCTGATGTCCCACAGATTCCACCACACCGCCAAGATTGTTGAAAAGCTCCAATGGGGTAGGAGAGAAGAGAACACAAGTCAGTGTTTGTGAGCTCAGGAAAATCCACCCATGGGAGTCCTCATGTTCCTGAGTGGAATGAACTGGAGGGAAGCCACTTTCATGAGACCTACTTCCCTCAACTTCGTAGGCGCTCACTCACCATTTTCCCACCAATGGTGACGCCTCCATGACACCCTCTCACAGCCCACAAAGAAGTTTTCTGGCCCCAGTTTCACAGTTTCCCCCATACCCAAACCCTTTCTATTCTGACAATGTAACAGGTAAAAGAACCTGCAAGTGAATCAGGCCAGCTCTATGCCTGGCATTTCTCCCAGGCCTATGACATTCATGGCATTTCACGCACAAGTGCCTTGTCCCAGGGCACAGGGAGCATCAGGCAGCCCTGACTACAGGCACGTGGCATGGGAAGGGGAGGTCTCTTCTTCGATTCCATGAAGAACAGAGTTCATGCTATAGGGGACAGTTCACCTGCTGGATCGGTGTTTGGGCTCTGAGCAAGATTTGCTCTAGGGAAGGCTTTTTTTTCCTTCTTTCTCTCAAGAGAAAAGATGAGCTTCACAGGCTTTAGTATCAGCACATGTGGACAAGCAGGCAACATCTCAAGGTTTATGTTTTTGTTTTTACTTTTTCTGAGACTTCAGAAACATTGAATGGGAAATTGAGAGTAGAATTGTTTTAAACCAGAGGATGCTTCCAAGTAGATTTTATACATATGAGAAATGTCTTAAAATTGAAAATTGTCACAGAACAAGACCCTAAACAGGCAGAGGTTTTTGTCGCACTTCCTCATCTGCCTGTGTCACTGTGTGAATGCCAGTAGTCCAGGTCTGACAGTAATAATCAGCCTCATCCTCAGATTGGAGGTTGGAGATGGTGAGGTAGCGGTCAGCCCCAGAGCTGGAGCCTGAGAAGCGATCAGGGATCCCGTCCCCCTTGCTGTGGCTGCCATCACTGTTAAGCCTCATCAAGTACCGAGGGGCCTTCCCTTGCTGCTGCTGATGCCATGCGATGTTGTAGCTACTGTGCCCACTGCTCAGAGTGCAGGTAAGCTTGACCGAGGCTCCCAGGGAGGCAGAGGCAGAGGGCGACTGAGTCAGCACAGGCTGGGAGAGAGACCCTGAAAACAGAGACACTCATTATGGCCTGAAGGAAGGACAAGAGGGAACAACATTTCTGGTATGATTTTGGGAGGTGGTGTCAGTGAGCTGGGGCATGAGGATGCTGAGGGTCCTCCTGACCTGTGCAGTGAAGGAGGAGAGTGAGGAGGAGGAGGAGTGGGGTCCAGGCCATGGTGCAGACTCCCCAGGGCTCTGCTGAGGCAGCCACACTGCAGGTCTCTCTTATCCACCCTCCAGCATCAAAAGAGAGGGAGGGGTCCCGCATGCAAATGTGCTCCTCTTCCCCTGGCCAATCATACGTCTCCCTAAGCCTACCTGCAGCCTCTGTGGCTGGGTGTCATTTCTGGGAGGGGTGAGCCTAGGCCAGGCCTTGTCTGAGGCACCACAGGGACCCAGAGAAGACCCAGCTGCTGGCCCCAGTGAGTTCTGAGTACAGATCAAAGTCAGGTGTTTCTTTTCTTGGCTTCCAGCCCCACAGAGCCCTCAGTGACCGGCTGTACAGCTCCCCCTGCTGCCCAGGCCAAAGCCCGTTATGTCTGTGACCAGATACCAGGGGGTCCTGACAGAGGCTTGTGCCCCCACCAGCGCCTGACCACTGCTGATTTCCTGACCGAGGGCAGGGTGAGACCCCTCCCCACGGCAGCCTCCCACCTTATCTCAGCCTTTAGTTTTCTATTTGGGCCTTCTCTGTGGGAACAAGACACACAATTCTCTCCATTTTATAAAAAGTCCCCAGGGGAAGGCTGTCTCCTATACAAACTATGCATAAAAGAAAAAGTACATTTGCTGAGAACAAGGACAGTAGTTTAGCCACGCACCCACTTCCCCATGAACTCATGAAGCCATGTTTCTCTCCCCCTACTTGATTCTTCAGGAGATCACACGTAGGGACCAGGGTGAGCACTTGGGAGGATCCTTTAACCTGACTGAGCGCTTCACTGGATGCTCTGGTAACTGGGCAGAGAAACGGGGAAGAACGAGAAGCTACTTGAGGGGATGCAAAAGAGAAGCAGTGGCCTCGGGCATCTTTTGTAGTAAGGGATTAGAGAGGTTCAAGAAAGAAGAGGGAATGTGAGTGACAACTTTCAAGGAAAGATAGAAAATGCCCATGGATTTTCTTCTAGAAAGATTTTGGTGATTGTCTGAGGACGTCACAGAAGAGGAGAGAAGTGGAATGAAAGGGAGAGAAACAGGAAAACTGAGGAAATAAGTTGTAAACCAGAGATGGGGAAGAAGAGAGGGTGAGGAAGTCCACACTTTGTAAGCCACACCGGTGCGGAGATTGGGCCGGAGCCAGCAGGGATGGTGGGTCAAGAGGAGATTTGAGGTGTGTTTGCTTTCATTTCTCTTTATTTCTTAAAGAAAGTAGAGCCTCTCCCATAATTTGCATTATGTCCAGCAAATTCACAGAGATGACCAGGAGTGTTTTGTTAGTAACAAGGTGATCTTCCCACCTTCACATCTTGATACTAGTAAACAAGTGGAATTATGTAAAAGCTACATTTTGCACTAGATGTTATAATGTTAATAATATTAAGAAGTCCTCATGTACTTATGGATTTTTAAGACAGAGGATTTCTTACATTAACCTTAAATTACAAGCATATTTATAAGGTTAGAGATATGAGCACAGATATGATCATACTCATAGAAAAATTGATTGCCAAGATAAAAAAGTACAATCAAATTCAAAATATTATGTAATTGATTGTTTGGTGTGTCAGTTTCCTAGAATTGCTGTCACAATGTATTATACACAGGGGGATTTAAGATAACACCAATGTATTGTCTCACAGTTCTGGAGGCTAGCCTCCCAAAATTCATGGAAATGGCCATGATCCCTCATACACCTGAGGGTAGATCCTTTTTCCCTCTTCCTACCTGCTGGTGATTTGCCAACAATCTTTAGTGCTCCTTGTCCTGTAGCTATGTAAGTTCCATCTCTGCCTTCGTCTTCACATGACATTATCTGTGCATCTTCCAACCTCCTCACTACCATCATCTTATAAGGACACCAGGCACATTGAATCAGGAGGCCAACTGACTCTACAATAGCTTCATCCTAATAATTATACAAGCAATAACACTATTTTCAAAATAAGGTCACATTCAGAAGTATTAAGGGTTAGACCTTCAACATATTTTCCTAGGTGAATATTTTTTACATGACATTAGAGAAGAGAGTCCCTCCTAAAAATTTTATAGTTTTTAATACTTAAAAAAACTATGAAATGTACTTGTATTAAATTAGAACATAAAATAAACTTTATTAATATACAAAAGCGAGTTTCCTCTCTTTGCTTTTAATTGGCAAAAACCAGCAGCAACAAAATCTTTGGAGATGCTTCCTTCTGGATGAAATGTGTTTGACCTTAGTCTTTAGACTTGATCCAATGATTACTGTTCTTTTTGGGATGTAAAATAACTAAATTCTTCTTTTTGGAAACTCACGTCTCCCAAATCATTCACAAATATTTTCCACTCTAAAATTCAGATACAGGAATCAATGTACACCTTCCACCCACCTTTCTCTCTATGGATAGTTAAAATTTAGGTGTCCCTGAGATCTCAGGTGTCTGGCCATGTGATCCTGGTATCCCACGTTCATGTTTGTACCCAGGATCAGCCAAAAGCTCGTTCATGTCCTGTTTCCCCATCTGGGTCTCTCACTGTGCTAAGGACCACTGTGGTGTAGCCTGCAGTATACTCAGCCTCATCCTCAGGCTGGGCCCCTGAGGGGTCAGGGCAGCTTTTCTCCCAGGAGAGAGCCTGAGAATCAAGTGGGCATCCAGGGGTGTTTGTTATCTGTATTATACATCAGTGTCCTGAGGGCTTGGTCAGGATCCAGTATGGATCCAGTGTGGTTAGTGACCTTTGGTGACAGCCATGGTGCAGGAGCCACACATGAGAATGACTGTCTCTCTTTGGGACACAGTCAGTGAGGGCTCCTGAGTCACCACAGCCTGAGAACTGAACCAAGAAACTAATACATGTTAGGAATGAGGAAGAGAAGCAGAGGAATCCCTCCAAAGGCCTGTCTGAAATCTCCATGAACCCGGGCAGAGAGTGAGGAGAAAGCAGAGGTGGAAGAGAAGCATCCAGGCCATGATGTGGACTTTCCAAAGACCCCCAGGACCCTCAGCCACTGCTGGACTCTTGGACTGTTCCTCCAACTCTTCATCAGCTCCCTTGGTGAAGATATGTGATTGGATGAGGCATTATGCAAATATGGGTTCTTTACCAAAACCACCAGCTCCTTGGGTTCTAAGTGCTCAGCCAGGGAGCAGTCGCTCTGTCAGGGAGGCTGGGCTGTTGGGAACTCTGAATTTGCCCTTTGGTAGAAAGCACCTGCCCTAACCCCCAACTCAGGCCAGTGAGTATGGGCCCAGGAGCCATAAATGAGAGCCCTGGGAGTTCATTTCCGGCCCTGCCTACCTCTGAGAAGATCCACAGTGCCCCTGCTGGGCTGAGGTGACTATTGTTTGTGCCTCTCTATGGTAAATAATTCCTCTAATGCTTGAATTTTAATTTCACTATTACCTGTTCCAGAGTCCCTCCAAACTATTGTTTCTAATTCCATTTATTGCATTTTTCAGTTCTCTAATTTTAATTTGGTTTGTTTTTATGACTTCTTTTTCTTTTCTGGGATTTGCTTCTCTTCCACTCATTTCAAGAATGTTCCTTGTGACCCAAGTTAACCAATGGGTCACATAGGTAACATACCTGCACATGTACCCCTGAGCCTAAAATAAAACTTCAAAAAATAATGTCTAAAATTGCTCACTGAAGGGACTGTGTAATTGCTGCTTAAGTAATCTCAGTTACATAACGTCAGCTCCTATATTGTTTCGGTACTGGTGTCTGTCAATTGTCTTTTCTTATTTAAGTTGTGTTCTTCTGGTTCTTCACGTGGAAAGTTAATTTTTTACTGTATCCTAGGTATTCTGGATATTATATTACAAGACTTTCTAGAGTTTTGTCAATAGATCTGAAATAGTACTTACTTTTGTTTTATTGGGTTTTTTCCTTTTTTTTTTTTTTTTTTACTTTGTCAGTATCAGGAAAAATGAGATACATTTCCCTTTGTATGTATTTACTTTTAGATTCAAATATTTTAATTTCAGATTAAAATATTGGAAATGAATTACCCTGTAGCCTGCTTTCCATCTGCTGAAATGTTTCTGAAGCCTCATATCTCTGTCATCCTCTACTTTAGTCTTTTTAATTGAAGTTCACCAAATACGCCACAGTGTTACCTATCACTTAAGTAGGAGGAGGTGCACCTTTAATCCAAAATGACTGCCATGGTTGATAGAAAAAGTGCTTGTGGTGATCCACTGGGGGCCTGAAGAACAAATGACCTGAGTCTACAGTAGCTGGAAACCAGCCTTCAGAAACAAAAAATGTGTGTTGGAAGCACAGGACTGAGGTTTGATCCAAGGTGCTAAAGTCTAGCTTCCCACTTGTATTTGTCCCTGTACTGACGTTGCAGATGCCACCAATCATGTAAAACTGGGCCTCATTTTTGTTCTGCCCCCATTATAATCAGGGTGACTTTTTCTTTATGCAGGGAACCCAGGGGTCCCAGGACCTGATTGCTTGTGTCCACCATTGACCCCGAAGACAGTCACAGATGTTCTATTGGACCCAGCTGTCATGAGATGCCCAGATGACAGCCCCAATTTTGGAGCCATAGGTGAATGTCACTGTCCCTCTAGGAGGTATGGACAGTGAAAGTTCCTGTGTCACCACAACCTGGGAAGTGACTCCTGAACCCAGAGAAAGAAAAAGATATCATCAGGACAGGAGACAAAACCCTAGAGAATAGAGACACCTAGTAGTTTCTAAGTAATTTTTTTAACTATTAAAAAAATTATTGAGCAAATAAAGCAAAAACATACAAATATCTACCTTCCTAATTTTGAGTTAAAAACAAAATAAAATATGATTTCAAAGTTTTCTATTTCTTTGGACTATAGTCACTATCCAAATTCTCAGTCAGAAACATGAGAGTCAGCCTAGAAGCATCTATATCGTTCATGCACAAAGTCCAAGCCCTCTTCATGTCTAATGTATCCTGTGACATAAAGACATCACAAAGCTGCTTTCTGCTCTTCATCTCCACTCTAACTAACCTAGACCCACGCACCACCATCTCGCCAGGATGGCACCAGCACCCCCAGCCTCTTTCCCTGTCCCGGATCTTCTCCATTTCATTCTCATTGCAGCTGGAGAGTCACTGACCAAAGGCCCATGTGAGCTTGTCCCTGCCACCTCACAGTCCTTCAGTGACTCTGTGTGCCTTTCTCAGGGGTCATCATGCTGATCTGCCTCAGCCTGCCTCTCAAGCTCACTGTCTCCCTTCAAGGAGCTCCTCCTGACCCTTTCCCTGATCCAGTGACCTTAGGCTCAGGTCAAAGTCACTTTTCTCATTGACTGGAATGACCAATGTCTCCCCTGTAGATTCTCACCTCTGATGAGACGTTCCGACCTCCCCCTCCACCTACCTCACTCCTGCTCATTCTGAAAGTCTCACATGAGACTCCACTCCTGTGGATTAGGCCTGTTTGGACAACTTCCCACCCACCCTCACTCCCACACCCACAGGGACCCTCCCCGACATGGGTCTCCTGTTCTTTATCTCTTCCCTCTCAGCTCCTGTTCAGTGGCCGATGACAGCATGCAAAGACAGAGTCATCAAGGTACAGTTGTTAAAGCTTTGGTTTTTGTTTTTAGTTAGGAAAATATTTATAATTCTGCCAGATGAAAACTCACTCATACAACATCTTGGGCCTCTAAAGCTTGGCTACACCAAAACCCTCCTACTCAGAACAGCCCACAGCGCCATCTGCTGGGCCCACAGCCACAATCCCTCCAGGGCCTGTGACCCGCCTGAGGAACGTGGGTGCTGAGCACCTTGGATCACCCTGGTTAGGGGTCCTGGAATATTGGGCCACACAGAAACAGAAGACACCCTTCTATCTTCTCCAGGAGGGACTTCATAGGTGCCTTGGGATTACTTGGTTTGGAAGAAGCAGGGTTCTTGAAGTGATAAGAAAGATTTCACAACAAATGTAAGTCACTTAAACAGAACGGCTCATTTGACTCTTTGGGAAGAAGTTAAAGCTTGAGGTAAAAAGCACTTGAACCTAAATGTGCACCCAAACCACTGACTCATTAGAAGCTGACAATGTGCCATGAAAAGGACAGAGGAGTCCAGGTGGGAAGAGGACATTCCCCACTAGAGTCCACCTCACCCTTCATGCACAACTTTCTCAAACACCTCAGAATTCCCAACGTGGTGCACTTTTGGGGTCACCTTTTCTGACAGCTGCCCACCTTGCCCATCTATTTAGGCCTGAATAGTGGCCAATGGGAGGCTATTTTGGGGGTGGAGCTTGCATTTGTGGTCAAGTTCTCATGTACTTGCTGCCCTCACAAACCCCAGCCTACTCCAGCCTCCAGGGCTTTGCACCTGCTGTTCCGTCTGCCTAGGATGTCCCCACCCCTCCCATCCCATAGCTCACTCCACTGCTTGTCTCCATAGCTTTTATTTTCATTTCTTTGTTTTCATGTAGAAATCAACAAATATACATATTACGCATTCGTATTTCCCCTGTGTGCGTTGTCGATTTCTTTCATTTGGGTTAGTTTGTTGTGATGGCGGTTGTTGCCCATTTGGAAATGTTTCCTATGAATCCTCGGTGATACCTTTTCACAGGGTAACTGTGATTTTCTATTCTGTTACCTCTCTGATAAATTGTCCATAAATTTCTTCCCTATGTGTTTATTAATATTTATTAGTCTGACATTTTTCTGTAATTTTTACAGTTTGTTTAAACATAAACCCCTACTTCTGGTTTAAAAACTATCATATGCATACTTTTAGAATCTAATAATTATTTTTCTCTTCAGCTCTTTTTAAATTATACTTTGTTTTCATAGTAGTTTTAGGTGTAAAGAAAAAAACTGAGCAGTAGGTACAGAGCTCCCATACATTTCCCCCATCCTACCCTTCCAGAGACTCCCTGTTTTCACATAATGCCTCCATTTGTACACTTGATAAAACTGTGTAATCTAGTATTAATAGATAAATGCTGATAATTTATCATTAACCATGGCTTTTAGTTTATGTTGAGGCTCACTCTGTGCTGAATAGTCCTACAGGTTCTGCCTCCTGCGGCCCAGGCTGGTCTCAAACTCCTGACCTCAAGGGATCTGCCCACCTTGACCTCCCAAAGTGCTGGAATTACAGGCATGAGCCACCGCTCCCAGCCAATTTTTTATTCTCTAATCAAATGATTTTTGTCTCTGAAAACATGATGATAAAGTATATAATACCAATCTAAAAGTTGAACTGAATAAAAAGTTAGAACATTTTGAGATCTACTGGTTTGAAGAAAATTAGGTGTTGGTTGAAGATGTGACAACAAAAGTCACGTCGTGACCTCGGATTCATCAGAGCCACCAGCAGGGTGAAGGTACCAGGCTGGGAGAGTGGAGGAGGGTTTTTTCTCACTTCCCTGTGGGTCTGGAGCACTGTGTGAGCATTAGCGCTGTCATGCCATATCTTACAGTAATAGTCAGCCTCATCCTCAGGCTGCAGCCCAGAGATGTGCAGAATCCCTGAGTTAGTTGAGGCATCTTTGGATCCAGAGAAGCGGCTGGGGACTCCAGAGCCCTGGTGCTTACTTGACTCTGAGTAGTAGCTCAGGAGATACCGGGGATTGCTCCCTGGCTTCTGCTGGTACCAGTATACAGTTTTCCCACCAACACCGATGTCACTGCTCAGGGTGCAGGTGAGTCTGGCTGATGCTCCCAGGGATGCAGAGAGGGAGGGCGGCTGAGTCAGCACAGACTGGGAGAGGGAACCTGCAAACACAGACACACTTTGATGATGGAGCTGTTAAGTGTTAAACTCCTTGGGGTTCAAAGCCAGAGCGACTGACACAGGCTGGGAGCTGCCCTAGGTCCCGGAAAACTGGCTCACCTGTGCAGTGGGAGAGAAGCACAAGGAGAAGAGATGTCCAGGCCATGGTGGACACAGTTGACACGCCAGTCTCAGCTCTGTCACCTGAGGCTGCTTTTATCTTCTTCACTGGCCTGACAGAGGAGGGGCTGTTCCCACACATTTGTTTGTCTTCCTGGTGACCTCGGCCCCACCCCGAGAAGCAACTGCAGTCTGAGCTTGCTTCTTGGTACGGAAAGCACTAACGTGTAAGACTCAGAGTCGGCCCCATGGGAAGCACCAGGGAGGAAGCAGCTGCTGGGACCTTCCACAGTTCTGTGGGCAGGAGACGCTGCCTTGTAGAGTCTGGTGGGTGGCACAGCTGTGGGTTCCCTCTGAGCAGACCCTGAGACAGGCCCACAGTGCCCCCCGCTGCTCACTGGTTACACTGCAGTCTCTCAGTGGGAATCGTGAGTGGAGTCACCTGAGAGCCTGGTCCCCATAGGCCCACAGCATCCATGGGTCACACACTCACTCTGTCCTGAGCTACTGATATTAATAAAGAGCTTTTCTATAAGGACTTCTGAGTTACTAGACGAAGGGCATGTAAGGAATACGAGGACCATCATCCAATGTGAGGAGGCTGCAGTGAGGGGAGAATGCAGAAGGCTCTGGGAGCAGAGGCCTGAGCAGCTCCTTTCGCAGAAAATGGATTGGTTCATTATCTGGTGTTGTTAGAGATGTAAACAGGAGACAGGATGGATGAAACAGACGCTTTAGAGAGACATTTTTGGTTCCACTTTCAAGAAAGATCCTGAAGGCAGCAAAGCAGGTGAGGATGTGTCAGGAGAGCTGAGGGCTGGTCCCTGGGAGCTGGAGGAGGCCGAGGAGGAAGAACTCACGGGTGACTGTGGTCCTTGACACAAAGTGAGGGAGGAGTGGGGATGAGGCTGATGGCTGCAGTTGCGTTGATGGGGTGGTTTTTGTCTTCATTTGCTGTTATTGCAGGATGAGAGAGAGAGAGGGAGAGAGAGCGCAATATGAAGAGAAGCAAATTTGTTTTATATTATTTTTGTAAAATCAAGGTCTGAAGGACACAGACACGTTTTAGTCCACTTTGTGCTACTACAACAAAATCCACAGACTGGGTAGTTAATAGAGAACAGATACTCATTTTCTCACTGTTTTGTTTTGTTTTGTTGACGGAGTCTTGCTCTGTCACCAGGCTGGAGTGCAGTGGCATGTTCTCGGCTCACTGCAACCTCCACCTCCTGGGTTCTAGCAATTCTCCTGACTCAGCCTCCCGAGTAGCTGGGACTACAGGCATCCACCACCATGCCTGGCTAATTTTTTGTATTTTTAGTAGAGACGGGGTTTCACCGTGCTAGCCAGGATGGTCTCGATCTCCTGACCTCGTGATCCGTCTGTCTCTGCCTCCCAAAATGCTGGGATTACAGGCATGAGTCACCACGCCCAGCTTTCTCACAATTTTTGAGGCTGGCAAGTTCAGGATCAAGGCACTGTCATCTGATAAGTGTCTTCTTTCTGTGTCCTCACATGGCAGATGGTGGAAAGAAGAGAGACAGAGCACACTGCTACCTCCAGCCTTTGTATAAGGGCCCTAATCCCAACCATGAGGTCTCCATATTCAAGACTATGTCACCTTTTGAAGGTCCACCTCTTCATACTATCACACGGGCAATTAAGTATAAATCCTTTTGGAAGGGAGACATTCAAACCAGAGCACGATGGAAACAGCAGCACTGGAAGGCAGGGCTCCTCACGTCAGTCCTTTGCTCCAGGGGGATGGGAACCACCCTACAGAATACAGCTCAGTCTTGGGGAGAGAGAGGAGGGGATAAGAATGGGACTAGAAATAGACACGGGAGTGCCCCCTGCTCACAGGACAGAGAGGAGAAGCATAAAATCAGGTAAAAATAATGAATGCCTCATTTATTTCTTCTTGCACTTATTCAATCTTTTCAGTAATACATATTTATTAGCCAACTACTCTTCAGGTTTGGGGTCCTGGTGTCAGTGGTCAATTTGGTTAAACAAGTTGTTCACATATCATTATGTGCAATTTTTTTTCTGCCGATTCACTCAGTTAATAACAATGTGTATGCCATTATTTATAACTATAATTGTGAATTGATTCTTTTCCTTAGTGATGCTAATTTATGTTTTATATAAATTATATTATTAGGTACGTGTTTTTTGGGTTTTTTTGTGGGTGGGCATTTTTGTTGTTGTTGTTGTTGTTGTTGTTGTTGTTGTTGTTGTTGTTTGAGACATTATCTCACTCTGTCACCCTGGCAGGAGTGCAGTGGCATTGTCTTGGCTCACTGCAACCTCCACCTCTCAGGCTCAAGGGATCCTCCTACCTCAGGCTCCCAAGTATCTGGGACTACAGGCACATATACCACCATGCCTGGCTAATTGTTTTTTCTGTCCTTTTTAGAGTTGAAGTTTTGCCACGCTGCCCAGGCTGGTCTAGAACTCCTGAGCTCAAGTAATCCACCCGCCCCTGGCCTCCCAAAGTGCTGGGATTGCAGGTGTGAGCCACCACAAATGGGCTGATGTGTATTTTATAATTGTTATGTGTTCTTGTTGAATATTTCATTTTATACACATAAAATGTCCCACATTTCCTGATGTAAATGATTTTCATTAAAATTATTTGGTCTGATAACAAGATAACCACAAGAGCTTTCTACAGGTAAATGTTTGCATAGTGCATTTTTAGCATCCTTTAAAATTTAACACACAAGTAACTTTATTTTAAGGAAATGTATTTTTATCTGGATCATCAAAAAATTTACATTGAATATAATTGCTGAATATTGTGTCTGAGTTAGCCTTTCTCTTTATTTTAGTTGGCCTTTGTTGCTTTATTTCTTTTTTCTCACTTTTTATTTTTCATGAATCAAGTAAGTGTTTCTACTGTATCATTTTACATTAGTACCTATTTAGTTTTACATTCTATAAGTTTAATAGGAATCCTAGATATTGCAATATATAACCTCACCTTATTAGTGCCCACATTATTTATACATTTTGTGTAATTATTTTATAACATAGAACCTCATAAAAGCTTACACAACGCCTGTCCTTTGTGGTAATTATGGTTGCTAGAGGTTGTGTATGCACCTAAGTATGAATGATGAAAACCATTATCGGTGGTGGAGGTGGTGTTTTCAACATCAAAGTCATCTTATGTATCCAACACATTCCCTTCCCTGTGCTGTGACCCTGCAGGATTTTTCAGGTGAGTGCCTGGCAGGTCCCTATCTCTTAAGCACCAAGAAACTGCAGAAATCCCTTCCACCTGTCATTCAGAGATTTTGCCTCATCTTTTTAGCCTCTTAATGTGGTTCGGAATTCAGCATCTGCTTGCACAAGGACCTAATGGGGGTTTGAAGCCCTCCATCTCCAATTTGTTTTTAATCCTCAAGGACACTGAATTACCCTCAAAGCTATTTCAGTATTCTTTGGCATGAGCAAGTGCATACTTGCTGTTTAGCCCTTGCTGACATCTGTACCCTCGTCCTATCTTGTCTTTCTGTCCCAGTCATCCATTCTACGGGATGTTTCCTCTCCATTTATGGAGAGTCTCAGAAACCTGCAGGCTTCAGGAGGCTGCCTCAGGTACAGGGAAGGGCAGGAAGGTGGACAAGTTTTATCTTCGACAACAGAAACCTCAGCACATTCTTCCTGGACCATATGGTGACCACTCTCACTCCTAACCCCAAATATGACCTTAGTCATGGACACAAACACACACCAAGTCTATGTGCCCAGACATCTGGAATCACCAAGAGTATTTTCTTTCTGAGCTGCCTGCCTGTGTGGCAATGCCCAGGTTGGGGATGTTTTATCCTAAAAACCCAGTGTATAGGTCGACTGGATAGGAGGCCACAGACCCACGGAATGGCCTCAGTCCCTCAGTCCTGGAGGAAAAAATGACTGTAGGAATGTCCTGAATCAGGTGACAGTCACACAAAATGAAAGGGAGTCTATAGACCAGGCTGTAGGATCAGATGGAAGGCCTGTGCCTCATGTCCCCATAGGGCAGGTGTCCTGGGTTAACACACGGGGCTCTTCCCACATCCTGAACAGTGATCATCACCGTTGTCCTCAGACAGGATCCCAGAGTATTGCAGGAGCCCAAGTGACCAAACCTAAAGCAAGAGCCCGAAACCAGAACCCTGCAAGCTGGAGACCAGCGGGCATTACCGTCTAGGGCTCCCATAGGAGCTGGTGGTGTCAGGCCACACTGTCCACTTGACTCTGCTGCTTGTTCCAGTGCATGAGGAGGTGACCTTAACTTCCAGACAATCTGGCCAGCTGAGGGAACACGGACTGCATGGAGGACCTTGGAAGAGCTTGTGAGGCACAACCCTGCTGGCACAAAGCGTGACACAGAAGGACACAGCCACCCCTGCATGGTGAAGAGTGACTGACACTTGTCATTTACAAACCTCTTCTTCAGCTCATCCCCATGTTGAAAGCAAGAGCTGCTGAGGTAGGGTTACATGGAGCCAAAAATGAAAACTGAGGTTCAGAGAGTATGTGATTGCTTCAATAAGCCCAGAATAATGGTGAGATATCCCCAGTGCTGATGTGACAAAATCCTGCCATTCTACTCATAGTGTTGCTTCTTCCAGGGCAGTGGATGTAGGAGTCTCTTCTGGGAGCTGAACCTTTGCAGGAGGCTGGACCAGCAGGGAGAGATGCGGAGAACTGTGGGCACAGGACAGGGTCCACTGATTGCGAAAGCAAGAATGGAATGAGAAGTGTGAGCAATGGATTATACTAGTTGAACTGAAATAAGATATTGTCAGAACTATTTGTCCAAGGAAAATCAGGCGTTCACAACAGAAGTTCCATTCTGAGCTAGATTTGTCAGAGACACCAGCCGGGATGACTGCCCCAGGCCCAGAGAGCAGAGGGAAGATTTGTATCTCACTTTCCCATGGGCCTGGAGCACTGGGTAAGCCTCAGAGCTGCTGTCAAATCCACTGCCCCTGTGCAGATCCTGAAACAGACCCATTCTCAGGCTGCAGCACAGCGATGTGCAAAATCCTT